GTTTCATTACCTTTGTTATGCAAGACAGCATGTGTAAAATCAGTTAAACAAGGAAGCTAATAATGATATATTTCTTTGTGGGTATACAGTCCCTTTGATGCATTTTTCATTGGTTAAATAACTAAAGCTATTTCTAGTTAGCCATTTTCATTCAGCAGAAAAAGTGACAGAATATGAAGACTGTTGCATTTTTAAAATGTCATCACATGTTGCCAAAGTGCAGAATAGCTTATTTTGGGCAAAAATATTTTAGTTGGTATATGGTCCCTAGTGCAGGATAAATAAAATTGCCTCTTAGTCTGAAGCATAAGAAATTTAAGAGCCATTGTAATATATTTTTCTCTCAAGACAGAAACTGAACAATATTTCTATGGAGAGAGAGATGAAATACATTTGAATTTTAGGTTTTTGCAAGTTTTAGGTTTCAAGTAGTAACTCTATTCAGTTCATGGTTTATGGACTTGAGAAGCAGCAGTCTTACAGAAGAGGCTTGAAAATAAAATATTTATTCATTAAGTAAAATGTTTCATAAAATTTTGCCTTTTTCCTTTTCTCCAGTGCATGATCTATATTACCAACAATGAACATTAATTTGGGGATTTAGGTAAAAAGAATGCAGTTTTGTGATTTGGCTTTCAGAATCAATGATACAGTGGTGCAGTGGTTAGAATGCAGTATTGCAGGCTGACTCTGCCTACTGCCAGGTGTTCAATCCTGACTGGCAAGGTTGATTCAGTCTTTCATCCTTCCAAGGTTGGTAAAATAAAGATCCAGATTGTTGGGGGCAATACATTGACTCTGTAAACAACTTAGAGAGGGCTGTAACACTATGAAGTGGTATATAGGTTTAAGTGCTGTTAGCTATACAGCATGTGTTGAGTTGCAGAGATGGAGCAATTGCTGCCTATTTTATCCACAAAGAATTCGACTTTTGGAATTGTACTGAATAGCAAGCTCTCGAATAATCAGAAGTGTGACTGAATGTATCAAATTGGTATATTGATGAGTGATAACCAACTTTAATAGTTTGGCAGATGCTTTTTGTAGCATACCATGCTTTCTTTTAGAAAGAAAATTGAAATAGATTTTTAAGAATCTGCTCAGGGAACATTAATGTCACTTCATGAAACATTTATTAATGTTCCTGAAACATTTACATCCAACTGGTCAGTTTTGCCACTTCAGCAAATTCTGACATTTTCACAATCCATTCCTCCACTGTGGGAATTTGTTTATTCTTCCATCATTGAGCATATAGTAGTCTTGCTGCACTTACCATATACAAAATCCATCTGCCATAAATCGTTTCTAATCCATTGTCCATAAGTCCCAATAAAAAAGGTTCTGGTTTGTTCACAATATTTATGTTTAAAACCCTTTGCATAGTTATATGAATTTGTATCTCTAACCCCTGAGATATTGGAACATTGCTATCGTGTCACCCCCTCGTCCTTCTCTTCATTAAACGAGACATACCCAATTCCAGCAGCCTTTCCTTATATGTTTTAGCCTCCAGTCTCCTGATCATCTTTGTTGCTCTTCTCTGTACTCTTTCTAGAGTCTCAACATTTCTTTTACATCGTGGTGACCAGAACTAGATGCAGTATTCCAAGTGTGGCCTTACCAAGGCATTGTAAAGTGGTGTTAACCATAGCTTTCTTACACATTTTGAAAAGTCTGTGCCTTTGGCACTTAATATTATGGTTTCTCTCTTATTTTCTTACTGTGTATTTTCTTCTTATCTGTCTTGTGTTTGTATTTCTTCACTTGATCTAATTGTGCCTGTACCCATGTTGATTAATCCTTCCAATTTATCCCAGAATGTCATCCTTTTAAGTTTACCCATCAAAAAGTATATTATCTTTTCTTCTGTAATATTCTGATTGGTATCTTTTTCAACAAAATTATATCTATATTATTTATATTCACTCATTCATTCATTCAATTTAGTATTGAAATGTTACTGGATTACCTTGTCTCTTATTGCAATGGTATTTGGAAAGACCTTGAGAGAATATTCTCTTGGCAGGATGTCTTGGACTTATCTCCCGAGGTCTTTCCCACATAGCATTATTCTTATATTCTTTCCAACATAGTATACAAGTTTATCACTTGGTACTTTTTTATGTTTGAATAGTATTAATTCTGTACACTTTATTCACTTCTAATTACATATCTTCCATTCAAAAAATTGGATAGTGACTCCACAGCTTTTTCTCTGACATCTTCACCAAGTTCTTCTTGAACTGTTCTCAATCTCAAACAAAATTTATTTATTTCACTAAATAAATAAATTTCTTCCTGTCTTTGTTCTAAAAGAGCCATATTATCTAAAGCCCTTTCTATCTCCTTGTTAGTTATTTTGGCTTTGTTTTCCAAAATTTTCCAATAATTCCAATTTGTATCCATGTTTTCTTTTTCCTAGTTATACATCTCTCTTTCAATCTGTCTTTTAAATTAGTCAGCTTTTTCCCCCCAGTCCCAGTAACTGTTGCTGTTAACACACATCTCCAATTCCTCAACAATTTTCTTGCCTAATTCCTTCTTCTGCCCTCTGCCTTCTGTAAATGCCCCCCTCCTTGTGTTGTCATTTCTGTAGCTTTTGCTACTTTGCTTATAATCCAGAAGAAAGAAATGTGAAGAAAGAAAAAAGAATAGAGAAAGAAACTCCCAATTAATACCTCTCTGTGAACCTGCACAAAGGCCCCCATGGTTACAGCTGCCACCTGTTCAATATGAGTCTAAAAGCTCAATTGAATATTCTGTTTGTCCTCAGCTTTATGAATGGACTAAGTTGTATACCATTCAATAGTTGAGCAAGAGTGGTTTCAATCAGGATGATCTATAGATAATTGCTTAGTGCTACATCTGGCCAATAAATGTAAAGATCATTCTTATCTGATCTTTGATTTTAGTCTCTAGGATAAGACCATGGGATATTTTGGGTAGATTTACTCTTGTTCATCCATACGTATGTTATATGGAAATGATCCCATCCACATATCCAAGGGAATGAAACAAGAATATATTCTAACATCATTGCTTTTTAATATATACTATATATTAAGTGTCTGATTAAAACTCTCCAAAGTATTGATACCCAAGTGGTCAAACTGACTGCCATTTTGTATTTCTAATTTTTTCCATCATTGAAGGGCCACTCAGTTGTTATTAATTACTCTGAAAGTGTCAAAGGTCTCTTTTCACTATAAACTCTTTTATCTCCAAAATATGTTTGGGAAAGTAGGTTCAGCAAACCCAGTGCTGTTAGTGGTGTTCATCTGAGATTTTGAGTGTGCTGTTAATTTCTGTGGCTTCTGGTGCTCCACTTGACAAGATCCATCTGGAACATGCCAGACCGCCCCTCCAGAAAGTAAATGGGTAATCTCATGGCTTCCTTATTGTCCAGGAAAGCTCCTTTGGCTCTGGCACAAAGCCCAGCTGATGGTAATCACTCAGCATCATTATCTGGGGTTGTTAAGTCACTATTATTCTACTCTTATTGTTTTTTATTACATCTTTTGTTCCATACATTCTATGCATATCTAATGTGCTTTTGGTTTAAAGTCATCTGTTTATATTTTTTCTTCTGTCCTGTGGTGTCTGATTCTCAGAGGGTTAATAGACAAATCTATGTATGGATTATTGGTATTATGGAAATGATGTAACTATGTTTTCATAACTTTACAACAGGCACAGTAAATAAACAATTCTATATGTTAATTTTGTTATTTTGTGTGGCATATAGAATATTAACACTTATTTCGTTAATTTAAACTTGGAGTTAAAAAATATGTGTAGTAAGTAGTTCTTACAATGATTCCAACAATGATACAAATGGGTTGTGTAAATAGCCAAAATTCAGTTTGGATTCATGATTTGAAGATAATTTCTGTTTTAGGTTTTGTATTTAAAGTTTAAAAACTGGATGTTTAATTTGTTTAAAGATTTAACAGTGTATATATTAGGGAAGCATCGGAATGGGCATAGCAGAGCCTAATTACATTTTAAAACTTGGAGGCATTTTTAATGGCATCTCATTCTAAAAGGTCATTTTATTTTCTTCATGCCAGTTTCTCCCATTTTATTATTCCTGTTCCTAAATCTTAAATGATTTAAACCTGTAAGTGAATTGATGAAAATGTAGATGCAGCAAATATTTATTTAACTATATAATAGGACCACCACACAGGTCCCTCCAAGGTCCCTTCCATCATCATCATCATCATCATCATCATCATCATCATCATCATCACCACCACCACCACCACCACCAACATCATCATCATCATCATCATCATCATCATCATCATCATCATCATCATCATCATTATTATTATTATTATTATTATTATTATTATTATTATTATTATTATATAAATATCCTGGTCATCTACTGCAGCAAGAGAGGTCTCCAGCCATAACGGTTTCCCATGCCACTGGAGTAAGGTCTCTCCTGCTGAGAGAGTTGTGCCATGGCTATTCCACGTAAAATTCCATCATACACAGGTTTCTCATATGCAATTCATCTTCAGCTGTGCTAGATTGTATACTTTTGTGGGACTGTAGAACCACCTCTGTGTCCACAGATGAACTACACAATAGCACGTTTTTTTTTAACCTAAAGGGCCACCATATATGCAGGATCCTAATTTGTTGAAAAGTTCCAGGAACGTAACTGGATCTTTTTTACCTTGATTTCTGAATTCATCTAGTATCACTGTTGCTTCAGCTGTTACAAGCCAGACATTGCTGGGTTTAAAGTTCCAGAGAAATGAGATACAGAAAGATAGGGACACTGGAAGGCTGTAATCCTTGTATTGAGGATGCTAATATATAAAAAAAAACATCCACATGTATTATTACTGAAGTCCTTTTACCATAATTGAGCAAAAAAATCAGCATGCTGAGCTGACAATTTCTCATAATTTTATACAATGTTTTGGACTGTTCTCTCCTTTCCTATCCTGACTATTTTTTCCCTTATTTTAATGTTTTAGGTGTTAATAGTTGGTGGGTCATTTGGGCTCCGTGAATTTGCACAGATTCGATATGATATTCAAAAGGTTCGTGGAAAGGTAAGCAGAATTCTTTTTCTTGTAGAATACAAGATTCAAGAATATTAGCCAATTTTTAAAGGGAAGGACAAACTCATTATTGATTCAGTGTTTACTTCCCAAACCCAGATAGCTAAAATTTTGACATTTTCATCCCACACAAAGCTGCAAGATAGCAACTGTTTCCCAATCCTTTCTACTGTATCTTTCTTGCCCTTTTTCAAAGCCCAAGAGAACAGTATGTTGACAACAAAACCTATTCATTCATTCAATCGATCAATCAAAACTGCATCCCATATTTTGCCCAAAAGATAGGCTATGAGTCTACATCTATTTTTTTTACATTTATATACAGTTTTTCTGCCATTACACTCAAGGAAATTCAAGATCTGTGCCAGTCAATGCAAAAGAGAAAGCTATGTGAATAAAGTCTGAGAGACTTTAGTTCCATATTATATACTTCCTGAGAGCAATTAAGAGAACAATAGCCTTGCCTTGAAATAAATTGTCAGCATTCTACTAGCAGAGGAAAGGTAGAACTGGTTATAAAACTGTTTGTTTATTGGTTTATTTATTTATTGGTTAATGTGACCCAGGGCAGTGTACGAAATCATTAAACAAAAATACAAAAGAAAAGTTACACACACCAATACAGGAAGCTGAAGCAATTAATTGTTGATGAGGACTAAAATGCATTAAACTTCACCATTTGGCAACTATATTTATCCTGACCCAGGGAAACAGCCAAGTCTTAATTGCCTTTCCAAACATCTGCAGGGTTGGAGTCAACCATGTTATGGGAAGGGTGGGGGGAGATCCTTCCAAAAGGAAGGAGTTGCTATTGAAAAGGCACATACCTTTGGGTCCCACAAAGTGATCTTGTTTCAGAACCATATGGGATGGGAAGATACCGTGATAAGGGTAGTCATGACAGACAAAGTTTTTGGCACAAGGGAATTGCATGAGTTGGTCTGAATGTCAAGCCAAGTGTATGAATGCAGGATAAGGAAAAATAGCAATAGAAGTTGCAGTGTTGCTTCTAATGGAAGAGCAAGGCACGGAGGTTGTTCTTGTATAGTCCCAGGGCTAGGAAAGCTTGATTAGGGGCATTATTGCTCTCTTCTTGAAGCTCTTCCCTACATAGCTTCTGACATGTTTGGGGGCTAAGCATCCTGCCAGAATCTCTCATTATCTAAGATAAGTCTTTATCTTCTAGAGCTGTCAGAGGCAAGTGATTACTACCTCCTGATTCCTCAGGCTGATGGTTCGTATGACCTGCCCTTTCATTCTCTGAATCAGAGGATTCAGAAGAGATCATAACAGCTTAGAGTTTACTAATGGTATAAAATATAGTAACCACAGTATATAATATCAGGGCAAGAAGAAGTATCTTAATGTATCCCAGCTGCTAATTAAGACAATTCTGGAGAATAGAGTCTATTAATAATTATGCGGTTTGAATATTGCTCTGTAGTTTACTTTAGCATGATTTATTAAATAGAATTGGAAAGTTTCAGTCAATATACTGAGCCATAAACTATGTTTTGCAAACAGCAATATCTGAGTTCATTCTCTAAAATCTATCCAGTTACCTACCAAAATGAATGAATGAATAGATACAAGTTTCACTGATTATGTCAACATGCAGCTCCTGATTAGCGTGATGGACCTGAAATTGCTTTACATACACTATTATCAGGAAAGTAAAATCTGACAATATTGGGAAATAAGAAAGAACTGTTGACAATGTGCAGATGATAATTTATTCAAAATTCATTGTGAACATATAATGCATTCGTACATTTCTACCAATTCCTCAGAATTTTATGTTCCTGTGAGCTAGCATCAGGAACCCTTGTATAAATGCATGAATTTCAAATCATTATAACACCTAATAGATTAAATGCTACTAAAACGTATCATTCGGAAAGTTGAATGCAGAGTGAATGTTGCAATTGTAATTTATATTACATTTATATTACATCTTCACCAGAAGACGTAATATATATTACATTTATATTACATCTTCACAAGAAGCTGTACCTTTCTGTCTGATCATGTGGACTACTCCATGTTTCTCTGTAACATTCAAATGGAATACTACAGAGTGCATTATAATCCCTAAATCTCTTAATTAATTTTTTTTAACATCAGGGCTTGCTTTCACTGAAATTGTTCATTCTAGGGAAGAAAAAAGATGTTTCCCTTGGGTTTTTTCTTGGCAATTGCTTATAATTGCTTATAGTGGCTTATAATTCATAACTGAATATGCATCAGTTTTGATTTCTGAATATAATGGAAAAGAACACACAGTTGCTTGGGCCTGCTGGCCATTAGTACACAGGATTCTGAATCAGACTATTGGTAAGATTCCTGGACTTTTGGCTGCTTCCTGTCTTTTCCAAAAGTTAGCACTTGTTCTTTAGTCATATACACAAGAGGCATTTATTTCATTTAATTTTTATTTAAAAAGTAAAGGATTTGAGTGTAGTAGTCCTATACAGCAATATTGGCTAGGTTAAACAGATATTATTATAAATATAAGCATTATTGAATCTGATAGGCCCTGTAATGTTTCATATTCAAATTTAAAATAAGGCTTCATAGTGCATGGGATCATGAGCTTAGCATCTGTCTGCAATTCTTTAAAATCATTTCCCCAGAATCCTGTAGCTGCTTTATCCAAGTCCAACACGGTTCTAGAAAAGAACACAGTTGTTTGAAACGGGTGCAGACAGGTGTTGCATTAGCGCACACACATACACCCCCTTCCATAAAGCCCTTATGGGTTCAAATCTAAAGCATTATAGAGATGGAATCCAACATCTTAATATGTTTGTAGTACTACCCTCAGAGTAACCAAGGTATTGATTACAAAGACAAAATAGTACTGTATTAAAAAAAAAAACAATCCCATCATTTTGATATAAAAGAAACAATAAAGATCCTTATTTTATCTGTCTTATAGGGCAGAGTTCCCCAATCTTTCCAGCTTTGCAGACCGTGGAGAGAGGGGATGGTTCTGTGCGAGAGGCCAGGAAGCATCCCCACTTGTGCAAGCAGCGGGTGAGCGGGTGCGCGCACCTCCATGTGCGCAAGTGGCGGCTGCGTGTGTCCGCCACATATGCAAATGGAGCTGGGGATGCTCGCTCGCCCGCTGCTTCTGCGGCCCGGTTCTGAACGGCTCACAGCCCAGTAGTGGGCTGCAGAGTCGGGGATGGGGACCTCTGTTCTAGGGGCTTTAGAAGTGATTTAAACTTAAATCCTTATAAAACACCTCAGTTTGAAAAGCACAAGGTAAATATTTAATTTACAGACTTCCCCTGTACTGTTGTAAAAGTTTACTAGATGTCACTACAGAAGCTACTTTAGCTGATATTTAACAAATCTTGAACTGAGTCCTGATTTTATTACCTTGAACCATCAAGGAGAAATGAATCAATTGGACGAAAGGTCTAATGCCTTTAATGAAATCGTCAAGAACATTTCAGTTCATATATAAATCAAAAGACTGGATTAAATTCCATAATTTATTTACAGCCTACATAAATTAGATTTCCTAGCTGCTTTCAGAAATGCACCATTTTGAAACTAATTACTGCTGTGCAGGTAGATAATATCTATTTGGTAGGTAATAGAATTTGATTGTAATGTCTCTCTGGACAGTCACAAAGAGGAATACCTTTGGGATTATAGTATTTCAATATAGCTAGATTTTTTTTTCACTTGGAGCTCCAAAGGACCACATAGAAAGAAAAGTAAGAGTTATAGAGCAAACTAATTTTAAACAAAGTTAAAAACAAAAGTCAAATGTTAGCACATGTATAGAAGAAATTATGATGACCTAAAAGTTCTGTCTATAAAGACACAGTATTAGATGCGAGTC